TGTTGTTTCAGCTGGGCTGGGGTGGGAGCAGCAGTGGGAAGAAAAATCTCCAGGGCAAACGGCCTGAGAAAGCCCAGCTGGTGGCTTCCCAGGGAAGGCAAGCGGGGCCTCGGCATTGGCCATTCCTGTCCCTCGGAGGGGCACGAGCTGCAGCCCCATCCCCACACCCCAGCCCTTCATGTGGGCGCCTGCCTCCAGTTGCCCAGGGTGTGTTGCTGCAGCCTCCCACAGTGCTGAAGCAGCAGGTGAGAAATCGCTGCTCCTGCTTCCCAGACAAGAAGTGCCTTGCCAAGGTCACACTGGGCTTGAGCCAGCACCTTTACCCCATGGTTTTGGCAGCCTGTTTCTACAGAGCTCTTGCCAGGTGGCTGGAAGGGGCCACCCAGCGTGATGCTGGCAGCAGGTGGCTGTGGGTGGCTGCAGCCGGGAGGCACTGGTTCCCATTGTATTTGCCCTGAAGCTGGGAGCACCTCCGGATGGAACAAAGGGGGCGAAGCAGGGATTCCCACTTAGTCCTGTTGGAAAGCATGGGGTCCGCCCTTGTGAGGGAAGCAGTGAGTGCTGGCAGTTTTGAGGAATGGAATGGAATGGGCTGGCCTCAGGCAGAGGCCCAGCATGCACTCTAGGCTGCCCTGACCACTGAGGCCCACAAGGCTCCATCCCAAAAGGCATCCGAGTGGCAGATACAGATTAAATGAACCTGGATCACCTGAGAAGGCAGCTGGGTCTGGGCAGCCAGTGGAAGAGAGGTGGCTGCCCTCTCAGGAGTGGATCCTGCGTGCTGTGTCGTGTCCTGGGCCTTGAGTAGCTTCTCATTGGGGAAATTCCCCCTCTGCAATGAAGTGCCACATGTGAGATGGGGTGTGAGAGGGAAAAATGATTTTGCCCTAAATAGGTGAAGGAGCTGGTTGTAGAGAAGGCAGTGGCATCTATAGGGAGAGTACATGGTTGATGCCATGCCACAGGTGCTTGTACCATGAGGGGCTGGGCATGTGGGGAGCAGCAGGATGAGTCTGTACAAGGAGACGGAGAGTGTCTGAGCTGAAGCCCGTGCTGGGAGGGAAGGGGAGGTTTGCGCTGCACAGCAGCAGGAGTCTGGAGTGGGGCACACAGCATTTACTTTGGACAGTGCAATATTCTAGAAGCTTCGAGCCAAAGCAAATGGGTGGGGAAAGGAGCAGCTCCTGGCAGCTTTGCTGTCCTTGCTGGTGAGGCCAAAACCTACCCAGCATAAGACAGGAATGTTACTTCTTTGTTTCCAGTTGTGGGAGTGCGGCATCCGCGTCTTGGGCAGTCACAGCAGCACAGTTCTCATCCCAACTCCATTCCACTCCCAGGCCCCACCTCTGGTCATTAGCTTATGAAAACCAAACCATACGGATCTGTGCTAGAAGCATCCAGGAAACACTGGCCAGGGACCGCCTGGATGTTCATTACTTCCAATCCACACTTCTCTGGTCCCATTATAACTTGCTCCCCCACCACCCCCTACACACTGAGTATCTGCGGCCAGGGCAGATGACACCAAGGCATAGGGTGGAGCAGAGCTTGAGAGGCTGTGTCACAGGATGATTAATCACATAGAGCATCCAGACTTGCCATTTTTCACTGTCTAACACCCCCACCCTCCCACAGAGCTTCTGAGGGCCTAGAAGTCATCTCTGAAGGGAAAGGGGGAAGACTGAGATGCCCAGAAGAGCAGGCCTTTGAGTCAGGAATCTGCGCTGGAGTAGACTGGCCTGGCCCCCCTGGCTTGGGGAGTACATAGGGTCCCACACTCAGGTCAGGCAACGGGGTGGAGGGAAGCACTGGCCTCCCAATGGGTTTTTTCTCTGGGTGAGGATTTGGGGGCTCACTTCAGAAGCACCTGGAGTCTCTGCAGGTACCCCAGATACTCCATGCTGCTGTGACTGAGCCTGGCTTGACAACCCCCTTCATATGCCTATAGACAGTACACCCCCTGTGCAGAGCTCCTCCCTCACCTCTCCCCCCACTCCAGGGAGTCTTGAGGTAGACCCCACCTTTTGCACTAGGAGCCATGCATGCTGGGAAAAGCTGTGTGGCCTGCCTGCAGCCTCGAGGGGCTCAGGGAATTGCCTTGACTGGTTGGTGCATGCATGTATATGCGTGCATGTGTGTATGCATACGCCTGAGCATCTGGGCTTGGCTGGGTCTGTGTGGGGGTGCCAGGCTGGTTCTGGGTGAGGACTGGGCTCCTCTTTGGCCCCCTGCCTCCAAGCAATCACTTTCATTAAAAAAATGGGGTTAAATGAAAGTCATTGTTCTACCTGGCTCTTGGCTTAGGCTGTATCAGCTTTTTGCCCAGAGATGAGCAAGGGCATTTTGTGCCCAAAAGCTTGTCTAACATTTCTCCCAGCTATAGTATTGCTCACGAATTCTGCTTGTCCAGTATTCCCTGAACCATCAGAGCTGCAGGAACCCAACAATCCTGCCTCCGTGTCATCTATGGCTGCCCCAACCACTTGTGAAATGCTAATTGTACAGGTGAAAATAGTTACACATGCCAACAGCCATGCTGAGCCCCTGTGCATCATGCCAAATGCATCTGTTTGCTGCTGCTGCCTGTTTCCTGTAGCTGTCTGCATCCTCTTGTCTTACACTTAGCTTGGAAGCTCCCTGGAGGGGATAATTTTTCTGATCTGTGTTTGTACAGCGCTAGTGCAATGGGCCCCTAGACGACGCTGCAATCGCATCCATGAATATCAACACCAGGTGTGGGGCTGGACTGAGCCAAGCCTGCTGCGTCCAGGCGTGAGTGAATGTCTCCGAGCGCCTGTCTCTGCCCATGTGTGTCAGCACCTGTCTTGGTTTCTGTGCATGCCTGTCTGGGCCTGCCTGGCTCTGCAAACTCCGTGTGCTGGTCAGTGCTGATGTGTGTCTGTGAACGCAGGCTGGGCCCTGGGCACATGGTAATGTGGTCAAAGAGCCTAGCTTTGGTGCTTTCCTCTGTTTGTTTACTTTTCTCTGTACTAAACAGTGCAGCCCTAGGGATTAGGGAACAGGGAGCCAGAGGAAGAGCAACCGGACTCTGAGGTTATGACCTCCTGGTGGATGCTGTGGTGTTTACATTCCTCTGCCTCAGTCCCACAACTACTACAGGGCAGCAGCTTCTCAGAGTCTTGCTGGTGGAGGCTGGCTCAGCAGCAGCTGGGAGCTCCCTCACCAGCAGATGCTTCTGTCTTCTTCCCCTGCTGGAAACTCCCTCGCAACCAGTGATCCTCCTGTCTCCGCACAGCCCCTCCTGCTGGGAGCTTTCCCCCCAGGCTCCTTACAGACCCTCCAGAGCCAAGAAGTTTGGCATTGCCTCCTGTTAGCCAGAGCCAGAGCAGATGCCTGGAGGGAGCCAGCAACCCCATGCACCTCAAGGAGCCAGAGTCCAGCCCCATGAATGTGCTGTGTCATTTTCATGAATGGAGAGAACTTGAATGGGGATTTCAAGAGCATTTTGCCCCTTGGCTCCCAAGCAGTTGGGCTGGGCCAGAGCCCATGCTCCTCTGGGGCCAGGAAGGGAAGTACAGGGTTGCGACTGCCTGGAGGCAGTGTGGCCAGAGACATCTGGTTGTCATTAGTGCAGAGCAACTGCCAGGACCCAGCCGGCCATAGGGAAGTCATGCCCAGGCATCCTTACAGAGGAGGCGGGGAAGGGAAGTGCCATGGGGAGAAGAGGGTGAGGGGAGCAATGGGGGGCAGGGAGCACAGGGTGTGGGGTGAGAGGTCGTGGGAGGGGGATACATTTCTCCAGCACCATGTCTCCTGGCCTTAATGCCCAGCCCTCCTGGTGGTTCCTCAGCTGCAGGCAGCCACTTGGGTGGAAAATGCTGCCCAAGACAGAGGCACAAGCAGAAGGGTCTCCTGGAGCAGTACTGACACGGAGCCTGGGCTATTCCGTTCCGCTTACCCTCTCCTGCCACCCCGACTGCTGCAATAAGGCAGCCACAGTGTGGAGGGTGACTGGGATTCTGTGTGGTCACAACTGCCCCCTTCTGGTCCCCCGAGCCTGGCCTACAGACCTCCCTCCCACCACCCACCCCTAGATTAACCCCGGGTTGGGCTGGGGGAAGGACTTAGCAGCTTCTCCCAGCAGTGTCCGCACATGTCCCCTGCTGCCTGTGCCAAGAAGGTGAGGGAAGGAGTAGCCTGCTGTAGTAGGAGACCCCCAAAGGCAACTGGCTGGAGCGCCACATCTGAAGGGGGCAAGGCGAGGGAACCCTGGTAATAGTCATCTGCTCTTTCAGGTCATGTCTGGCATGGATGTGGTGCAGGCCAGGGCCCCCTCCCCAGCAACTGCCACTGTAGACTCTGCTCCTTCCAGCGAAGGAGGAGGGCTAGCTGTGTTTGAGCTAGTGCTG